CTGGGCCCGGAGAGGGATTTTTCTCCGCTCAGCCCTGTGTCGCGGCGGGGCCGATGACCGGTGGGTTGTATTTAGATGGACTGCCAGCTCCCAGGCACCACGTGCGTCCGCCCGCCTGTCCGTCCGTCCGTCCCCTCTGCCGCTCCGGCCTGTGGGAGGTGCCCGTCCCGGCTGCCAGCTGCGGTTTAAGGCTTTTGCTGGCGTTTGCGCGCTTGTACAGCTTCACCTTGCAAGAGCCCAGGCCACGGGGGGAGCAGCGCCGTCTGCACAGCCCCCGCCCTGCCGCTGGCACGGAGGTCCTGGCACGGGGTCCCGGAGATGGGTCCCAGGGCCTTTGCTGGGCAGCAGCACACCCATCCTGTGGGTCCCGCGGGGACCCCCACCCTTGCAGGCAGTGTAAGGTCGCAGTAGCGGAGGCTGGATTACAAATGGGGGGGAGGATTTAGATTCCAGAGCGCATTCCCCACCAGATTAGGTCTGTGATGGGAAGGGTCGGAGGCAGGTGCTGGATTCCTGCCCCGCTGCCCCTCGGGGCCGTGATGCCCCACAGCCCCTCTGGGAGCTGCCCGGGGGGCAGCCGAGTAAGCAGCCGCCCCCCCAGACCCCCCACCCTGGAATATCAGGAGGACCTTGAGCACCTGGGGATGAAGCATCTCCCCGGTCCCAACCGCTGGGGACCCCCAGCCCCTGCCAGTGACTGTCCCCGGGGCCACGCTCCCTGGTACATGCCCGTGTGCACTTGGTGGGGTCTTGCACATGGTCCCCCCCCCCGACCAGTCACCCCACTGCTGGGGGGGGGGAAGCGGTGGGGACTGTCGGTCCCCCTGTGTCACCCCGGTGTCCCCACACACCCGCAGGCACCAGCCGAGCCCAGCAAGGGCACAGCTCTGTGGTGGCACCTCTCGGGGGAGCTGCGGGCAAGGGCTCGCCGGGGCAGCACGATGCTCTGGGACGGCTTTTCCCTCACCCAGAATCGCTCACCGGGATTTTTCCCGGCTGTGCTCCCACCTCCTCCGAGCAGCCCCTTTACTCCGATGCCCCCCGCTCCTTTGCTGCTGCCTTTGAAGAGCTGGTTGCTATCAGGTCGGATTTTTGCAGGCTATTCCTCCTGCTCCGGGCTGTCCTGCCGTATGGACTTTCCCATTTTCCTTAGGACACTTTCCCATTTTCCTTAGGTGCCGCAGAGGCATCGCCAGCCCCCCCCAGCCCGTGGTGCCCGGGGTGCTCAGCCCGGGCCCCTTGCAGAGCAGCGCGAGGCTGGGGAAAGCAAAAAGGTTGAAACACCTCCCAGGTTTCCACCTGCGCTGGTGACCTTCTGTCATGCTTTCGGTTCCCCTGCAGCCATCCTGGAGTCAGAAAGCAGCAAGGAGGAGGATGAGGAAGAAGAGGAAGAGGATGATGAGGAGGCGGCTATGGTGCAGGTATCACTCACAGGCTCATTTTCTGTTTTATTTCATCCTGCCCATGTAACTCCGAGGTGATGAAGAGCTGGTCCCCCCCCGTGCCCTCCCCTCCAGCTGGGGCTGTGCGCCGTGATGCCGGGGTGCTGATCGCTGGGGTATCACAGTCACAGCGTCCCCAGCGCGGCTGGCAGCGTCCGGGCGGCTCGGGGCTCAGTGCCAACGAGACAGTGCCAACGCGATGCCGCGCCAACGCAACGCAATGCCATGCCAATGCAATGCCACATGCGCATCTCTCCCCCAGCAGCGTTCGCCCCTCGGCCAGGAGGTGGGCGAAGCGGAGGAGCGGCTGGCCGAGCTGGAGCAAGGTGAGCCCCGTCCCGCCCTGGTGCCACATGCCGGCACGGTCCCTTATGGGGACTCGGGGGCGGCTTCAGCCCCTCACGGGAGCCGGTGGTGATGGGGTCGGTGGGATGGTCAAGTGGGAAAACCCCTGTTGTGCAGATCCGGGTGCCATCCCTGGTCCTGGGTGACCCGGCAGGGCTCTCCCGGCCGCTCGGCAGGGGTGGCTGCGGGCAGGGAGGAGGG